TGCTCTTAAACCAAAGAAGCTATTCTTAGAAACGCCCCTTGACTTTTCTGTTTGGGTCTCTTTCTGCTGAAGACGCTGTGACCTTCGTACAGACTGGAAAACAGATCTATCTCTCACTATCTGTTCTCTTCGGACCTCATTATCAAGCCCAGGTGGGGAGATATCACGGCTAACTTCCAAAACATTCTCTTCTAACTGTTGGGTTTCGTTTTCATTCCCACTGACCTCTGCATCAACAACAGATTCCACACTGTCAGTCAGGGAGAGCTTGCTCAGTTTGAAAAACTATCAGAGAATCCTGTTCACACAGATCAGGATCAGACTGAACCCCAACACATCTGTTGCATACTGTGGAGCTGCAAACTCAATCAGTGAGGGCATCTGTAAAGAGGTGTTTGGGAGGTGTTGGGAGGATCCCTCTAACTTCTGCAGTAGTCTATTGCATACTGTGGAGCTGAAAAGTCAATCAGTGAGGGCATCTGAATAGAGGTTGCCGCAAGGCATCCTCTATTTGGGAGGTGTTGGAGGATCCCTCTCACCCATGCAGGAGTCTATTGCATACTGTGCAACTGAAAAGTCAATCAGTGAGGGCATCTGCATAGAGGTAGCCTGGCTGTATTTGCCTTGAGGCGCCCTCTGTTTGGGAGGTGTTGGGAGGATCCCTCTCACTACTGCAGGAGTCTATTGCATGTTGTGGAACTACAATTAGTGAGGGCATCTGCACAGAGGTAGCCTGGCCATTATTGCCTGGAGGCATTCTCCATTTGGGAGGTGTTGGGAGGATCCCTCTAACTTCTGCAGGAGTCTACTGCATGCTGTGGAGCTGCAAAGTCAATCAGTAAGGGTATCTGAATAGAGGTTGCCTCGAGGCATCCTCTGTTTGGGAGGTGTTGGGAGGATCCCTCTTGCTACGGCAGGAGTCTGTTGCATACTGTGGGGCTGCAAAGTCAATCATTGAGGGCATCTGAATAGAGGTAGCCTGGCAGTTGTTGCCTCGAGGCGCCTCTGTTTGGGGGGTGTTGGGAGGATCCTTCTAACTTCTGCAGGAGTCTATTGCATGCTGTGGAGCTGCAAAGTCAATCACTGAAGGCATCTGCATAGAGGTAGCCTGGCAGTTGTTGCCTTGAGGCGCCCTCTGTTTGGGAGGTGTTGGGAGGATCCCTCTCATTACTGCAGAGTCTATTGCATACTGTGGAACTACAATTAGTGAAGGCATCTGCATAGAGGTAGCCTGACTGTCGTTGCCTGGAGGCACATCTGTTTGGGAGGTGTTGGGAGGATCCCTCTCACTACTGCAGGAGTCTACTGCATACTGTGGAGTTGCAAAGTCAATCAGTGAGGGTATCTGAATAGAGGTTGCCTCGAGGCATCCTCTGTTTGGGAGGTGTCGGGAGGATCCCTCTTGCTACTCCAGGAGTCTGTTGCATACTTTGGAGCTGCAAAGACAATAAGTGAGGGCATCTGCATAGAGGTAGCCTGGCTGTTGTTGCCTGGAGGCACCTCTGTTAGGGAGATGTTGGGAGGACATCCCTCTCACTACCGCAGGAGTCTATTGCATGTTGTGGGGCTACACAGAGAAGCCACTGAAATCCACAAACACGTGGACAATTTCAACAGAAACCATGAAAATGAACATAATTTGGTTAGTATTGGGGAAAAGGGGGGGGGGGGGGAAACCAGAATCAAGACAGTAAATAAGTACAGAGGGGAACTCCAGACAGCAAACAGTCAAGGGCCAGTTAACCACTTTGCAAGCAGAGGGTGCCTCCAGGCTACAACAGCCAGGCTCCCTCTCTGCAAAGACCCTCCCTGATTGACTTTGCAGCTGCAAGGCCACTCAATGCTCATCAAGATGGCCAGTTGCAACATCCACACTTGCTCCAAACAGACAAAGGTACTTTCTTTCTCTCACCCTGGATATTATTCTGCAGAGCTGTATATATATATATATGCACACAAGCCATGAGGGGGGTGACGCATGCGCACTGGCTCACCTGGGCTCCGAGCGAGGGGCTGCCAGGAGGCGCGTCCCATGCTTCTTTCCCGGGGAAAGGAAAGGCGCATGCGCGACAAAAAGCCACGCCCCCTTTGCCTACCTTCTACTTTGAATGGAGAGGCCTGCCTCTATTGCCACCTAGCGGCGGGCGGGGAAAGTGCACAGCAAAGAATCCCTTAACTCATAATCCATTATTATTATTATTATTATTATTATTATTATTATTATTATTATTATTATTATTATTATTTGACACAGCAAACAAGCTCACTCTGCTGGCTTATGTATTGGATCACATGTCGGACACTTCCCAAGTATTAATAATATTGCAATATTATATATACTATATATACTACAACTTATGATATAGTCCAATCTATCTA